AGCCGAGCGCGCCAGGCTCTCCCCGCGCTCCTCCTCTTCCTGCTGCTGCCGCGCCAGCTGCGCGCGGGGGTCCTCGATGGCGCCGTGGCGGCCGGCGGCCTGCGGGGGCGCCTGCTGCTCCTCCTCCACCTCGGGGTGCTCCAGGTCGGCCTCGACGGACTCGTTCACCTCCCCTCCTGGCGCCTCGTCGGGCACCTCCACCTCCGCGGAGCCCTCCAAGTGGTTCATGGCGGGCGTCGGGGGATGGCTGGGGAGAGACTGAGCTGGCTCACTGCGCTCTCATTTTGCTCCACGGGGGCTGAAAAGAAACAAGGAGAGAGGTTGCTCTGTGGTTCAAAATGTGACTGTGAGCTGAGCATCAAGACAGACATAAAAACACCCGCTATTGATCCCTTCTGGAATCTCGGTCAATTAAGACACGATTGCAAATTTAAGCTTAATCTGATAGTACTCTCGTCTTCATGCACGTGTCGCAATTTGTAATTACATATTTACTTGTTTAATTGCTTATTGCATCCTCCCTCCCAAGCCCCCAGACTGAGAGCTTCGTAACTTTGTTCTTCATGCTATTCAGGTTCTGTTTTCTGAGGTTTACAGATAGAGTATTATTGCTCAATTGGATGGGCCAGTTGGCACATTTCCCCATCTGCTCAAGGATAAATCTCTCTAAACTAGGATACTAGATACTTTCGAAGCAACTCTTTAAATAAATTTCTGGGAGGGGTGTGTGGTGGTGGACCCATCTTGGAATCTTTTTGAAGCCATTGCTATGAGTGTAAAGATGCAGTCTTCCGGAGAGCCTGGTAATCAATAGGTCCCTGGTTCTTCTACTCCCGACAAGGGTTTAGCTTTCTAGTCCTCCACAAAGCCACCAGGTTCTTTTTCTTACAAGCAGAATGAGTACAGAAAAATAGAATCTCTAGTTAAATAACCTCGGGACCAGCTGATTGACAGGTAACTTTTCACTGTGACTATCCAAGGGGAGGAAGTTAGAAAATTCAGGGTTTCTCTAACTCATTTGACCCAGAAGCACTTTCCTCCCAGAAACCAGAATTCTGACAGATACACAAAGAAGGCAGTTTCTAGAATTCTTTCCATGTGCCCTGGAGCTAAAATTCCGTAATTCTGTGAATGCCATGGTATCTGAAACTAGAGTACATGGCTAATTTTCAAAAAAGTATGGGTAGGGTAGGTTTCTACCTATTTGTGAGGAAACTTGCAGTTAGGGAGGAAGGTTGATTCCAACTTTTTAATCAGCTTTCACCACAAAAGTAGCTCTTAAGGGATGGGTGGATGGCTCTACTGGGGGATAGCAATTGCCGTGGACCTTGCAAGAGGACCTGAGTTCAAATCCCGACACATAAAACAGCCAGCATGGCTATGGGTGCCTGGAACTCCAGTGTTGGGGGGGGGTGGAGACAGGTGGATCCTAGGAGCTTGCCATCTGGCTGGCCTCCAGATGTGTGTACTGGACCATAACCCCTCATGTGTGCAACACACACACACACACACACACACACTTTAAAGCACAGCCTGTACACCATATATAGAACCAGACACAAAGAGTATAATGAACAAAGAAACCAGGCAGGATTCGTTGGGTTTCCAGAAATCTATGGCAAATGAGCTGTCATAATTAGCTCCAGCTGTCAACTTCACACAGTCCAGTCACCTGGGAAGACAACCTCAATTGAAGAATTGCCTAGACCAGGTTGGCCTAATGCCATGTCTGTGAGGCATTTTCTTGATTGCTAATTGATGCCGGAGGGCCCCTCCCACTATGGGCATGCTCTATCCCTGAGCCAGGTAGCCCTGGGCTGTATAGTAAAGGTGGCTAAGCGAGCCAGTAAACACTATTCCCCTGGGATTTCTGCTTCATCGCTTGCAATGTGAACCTACTTTGACTTCCCTCAGTGATGGATTGGAAGCTGTCGGATGAAACAAACCCTTTTCTCCTCAAATTGAGTTGGCCAGAGTGGTTTATCACAGCAATAGAAAACTAACTAGGACATGGGTTCAATAGCATGTTTGGATTTCTCTCGTTTTCTTTTGTTAAGTCTTTCCCACAAAGGGGGCGGGTGTGTTCTTAAATGTAACAGATAGCCCCAGAAAGATAGGGACACCCAATCAAGTCTTAATATCAACATTTGTTATACTCCACCCAATTCCTCAGCTTAGCCACAAGTAATTCCATCCCAATGTTTATGACTGACCAAGTGGAAAGGGAGGCTCATCTGCCTTCAAGGAGAGCATCACATCCTGGCTCCCACTGTGAGGGACCCTGTCTGCCCCCGACTGATTCTCACTAGAAAGCAATGATGGTTTACCAAACCAAACCTACTGCCCCCTAATTGAAAAGAGTACCAGATCAGAGTCGGTCTTTTCTAAAAAAAAAAAAAAAAAAAATGGTGGGCTCTTTTCATTAAATCCCGGAGAACAGTAACTGCGGCCAGAATATAAGAAAGTTTCCTAAAGCAGGAAACCCTGACTGCTCTTAGGACTGGAGAGGGAGGAGGAGAGGGAGTGGGGGAAATGGGAGGGTATTGGGAGGAGGGGAGAAAGTGGAAATTTTTATAAATAAATAAATAAGTAAAAAAAAAAAGAAAGTTTCCTAAAGACGAGACTAGTTCTCACTGAGGCTTTTACAGTGGGACAGAAAATCAAGTATTGGTCGTAAGGTACACCTGGTGAAGAGGCCTCCAGTAGATCGTGGAAAATACGAAACAAATATTCAATACATTACCAAGTCACTGTCCCTGTTTCCTTTACAAGGGCTCAAGTACAGACAACAGAACCAGCACATCACGGAGGCACTGACCTGTGTACCAACCCAGTTCTAATGGCCATGTGACAAGTTTCCACGGAGCGGAGTACAACAGGCTTCCCTAGGTGCTGTCCCTGTGAGGCATCCTGGCTGTGGGGGGGCCAATGTTAGAAACACAATAACCCGGATGGCTAATAGCTCTTAATACCGGGTACAGAACTGACAAAGCCACTATTTTCTGTGAAAATGGGCTTTTCTATTCACCGAGGTATTACAAAGGAAGTTTAGTCTGCACTGAGTTTAAATTGTACCTGACTAGCAGAGACATTGATTCAACAAAAATGGAATTTTTGTACAGGTGCCTATACCAAACCCTGACAAGGAAAGTTCTTTGTGGAAATGCCATGAAAAGCAGGTCGTTTGAGTACAATAGAACATTTTCCCCCATTAAAGAATACTAGTGCTATAACATTCTCCCACATTTGAGTCTGTGGAACCCATTGGCCTTTATTGGACACGTGCCAGACATTATATAGGGCAAAGAGGATTCAAACGTTTCTAAGATGTGATCCTGGCCTTTAAAGACAGCTTTAGTAATTACATTATCCAGTGATGAATACAAAGTAGAAATAGGTTCAAGACATGGAAAGAGCCCAGAATGAAAATAATGGCGGCTTCTATGTCACCTTCTGGTCCCATGAAGTGCTGTGGTTCTTAAGAGTTCACCAGCAGCCAAGAGCTCCAGCCTAGGAGAAAGACCCTGTCATCCAACTGGGACCTTGATAGTTGTCCAGACACCTCAAGAGGGGGAGCAAAGGAAGAAGGAATGGTTGAAGGAAACTCCTTCCTTCTAGCTATAAAAGGGCTGTGGGCCAGGGAGACAGAGGCAGAAGAGTCTCATCCTTGCGGGTACTGCGCATGAAGAGGGGCATGGCAGGACCGACAGAGCCTGCAGGCTGCCAGTGGACAGACCACTTCCAGTTCCCAGCTCAGGAATGCTTCACAGCCTGGGGAAAATAAACAAAAGAAAGGCATTCTGCTGCTGCAGAATGTTTAGACTACAAAATTTCGGGATTCAGTGGCCAAATTCAGGTATCTGATATTGTTGGCCAAGATTCCTATCAATTTGAGATTGACAGAAGGGAAGGTGGTACATCACTTTCGTTCATCTTCCCTTAACTTGTTGCCAAGCACTGTCAATTGACTGTCTTTTTTATTTTTGAGAGTTTCAAAAGTAGCTTTAGAAGAAAGGTGTGCCTGCAGACAAAACAGAATGTATAACAGAACAAGAATCAAGTTCTAACACCCAGGTTGCTGTGTGTGCACGTGCACATGTGTCTGTCTTTCTCTGTCTCTGTGTATGTGTGTGTGTCTTGTCAAGGGTGGTGATAGTCATGCAGATGAGGGAAAAACTTAAAGGTGTCATGGGTGCTGAAATGGAAAAAGAAATTTTGATTCATATGCTATATAGGAGATTTTACGTATGTGCTTATTTAAGCTTTTATGCCTGTGCCCAGGTGCCTCTGGGAAAGGGCCAGACTACATTTACATCCCTTAAAGCTTAATTTACCTTCTTGTGCCTGCCCAGCACAAGTGGCTGGGTCCCCTCCCTTAGTCTTGAGAGACTCCATATTTATATAACTATCTCCAAAGCATTTAATACCTGTTGCTTATCTTTCCCCACTGGAGTTGGCAGTCAAGCCCCGGTTCTTGAGATTGAAGTCTGTCTTAACACACACACATAATACACTATTTAAATGATGTCTGTCAGTCATGGTAAGGGCAGCATATAACCCTGATATAGATTAATGTCCATAGTAATAAACAGTTGTGGTTACTAAACAGGATTATGCCTTGGATGCAATTTGTGGGTGGACATATGAGTATCCTGTATATGTTGAGATTAACGGTTCTTGTGTATGTATGTGTGTGTGCTCACACACGCGTTCATCTGTGTGCAGGTGTGCATGGATATATGCATATGCAAGCACATAGAAGTCGGAGGACAACCTTGGGTCTTGTTCAGGTGCAGTCTTTCTCTTTTCTTAACGACAGGGTCTCTCACTGACCTGGAACTTACTTAGCCAAGGCTAGGCTAGCTCGCTAGTGAGTCCCAGCCATCTGTCTGTCTCTACTTTCCCCAGTGCTGGGATTACAAGTGCTCACAACATAGCACATGGCTCTTTTTAAAATATAGGTTTTGGAGATCAAACTAATGTCTTTGCAAGTTTCACCCCCTGCACTATCTCCTTAGCTCCTAATGTTTCTCATATTGCACAAAGGATGAGAAAGTAAGAATACATATGTATTCCCTACCTTACAAACGTCCTCGCTTCCTGAGTTAGATCAATTGTGAAACATTGGGTAAGGAGTTCAAAGGATCTCAAGAGCCTTGCATGGCCATCTCCTTTAACTATAATGCATCTGTTTACAATACTAACATAAAAGACTAGAATGAAGAAGACTAGGGTTGATTAAAGCACCTTTGATTCATTTGGAAGTTGAATTTAGGTATAATGGAAGACTAATGACGA